TAACATTCACGCATATAAGTGCCTCAGTGGTCAGAAGGCTGCACTTCAATGGGATTATGAAAAATGCCATACACATGACGTCTCTTCTGAAAATGTCAGCGATGGAGACCGCACAGGACAAATTCCCCTCCAACAGCAATGCCCTTGTGTTCTGCCATCTCCCAAAAACAATTTTAGCTAATTAGGATGTACACATGTACTTAAGACTACAAATACCTCCAGGTATAAATGCACACACAATAAAGCAGTTTAGCTGCAGTCCTGTAAACGTTTAAGAGATTATAGGCAGAGATGATGGCAGCACCTACTAAAGTTACCTGATACTGGTCATGCTAAAACTCTGTTTTTAGCGCTAATACAAAGTCCAGTGAAGTCAACGGGATTGTTCCATTAGCTTCTGTGAACTTTGGATGAGCCCCGAGCAGAGCTGCAAGGCTCAAGACATTCTTTGAAAAGCTCTCAATTTCCTCGAAAAACAAAAAAGAACAAAAAAGAACTGTAAATAGCAGTCATGCCACTTGCATATTTCTGGCAGCCCAGCAGAGAGCTCTGAACAGAGACCAGTAGTAACTGCACACCGCTCTGCAGCAGAATGCTTCCCTTGTAAATATTAACTACATTTTACAGATTAGGAAACCGAGGCAGAGAGAGGAAAAATTACTTGCCAGATAGTCAGCTAGTGACAGAATCAGAATCGGTCACCCGAGTCCTAACCCAATGCTGTAGCTGTTGACTACCCTGCTTCCCAAAGACAACAACCACCTACTGCTGCTCTCAGTCCACTCAAGCAACACAAATCTGTGCAGGGGATCCGAGGTTCCAACCCTATTGCTGAATTAAGAGGGCTTACAAGAAAAGACTGAATTATGTATATCATTTTCTCCCTGTGGACTTAAGTGTTTCCACAACCAAAGTTTAAGCTACTTGACTATGTAGAATTTATACTAATTCAGTAATAAAAGTCGAACAGAACGAGCATTTTGGAGCATGTAAAACTCACTGGATAAACTTTTAGTCTCCAGCAAAGCCCCGACACTTGGAGAGGTGGACTGTAAACAGGATCAGCCCGCTGGCGCAAAGTGCTGTCAAGAGAGAGAAATTAAAATATGCAATCGCAAAGGGAGCAAACCCTTCCTGGAGAAAGGAACTTGCATACTTTCTATTCACACATTAGGACTAGGCTTTTTGCTGCAATAAGGAAACAAAACAAAAACAAGAAGACAACAAAGCCAGCAGCGTTTTAAGGCTATCTGAGCAGTCAGGGATGAAAAAGGACACATTAGTTTTTCCAGGCCATCTCCTGGGGCCAATATTTTGCCATGCTGTACTTTAAGCTTTATAAGACTGTTCCTGCCCTACAGCAAATAAACTAAGGGTAAGTCAACAGACAAAAGGATACAGGCAGACTGGAGAGAACAACTAAACAGGGAGACGATATTCATTAGTGTGACGGGCTGGGTCTCAGTACACAGCAGCCTAAGCTTTGTCGATTATTATTTTTTAGGCAACATGGGCAAGGAGAGTTTTAAGGAATGTTTTGGAAGAGGACAATGAGGTAACTAGATATTTATGAAGGGTGACCATACATAAAAAGGGCAACATGGGAGAAAGCATAAGTGCCCTTGTTAAAGGGGCAACCGGTGTCAATAAAGTTAATACTGAATGAGATGCATCTGGTGGGTGGGGTGAGAGAGATTGGAAAAATTTTAGGATCAAATTGGAGGAACACCAATTGGAAACAATACATTGCAAATGAAAGGGAAAAGGGAGATGGAGGGTGGTACTTGAAGACATAACTGAGGTCAAGAGAGGGTTAAAACAGAAAAGACTAAAGCAATGGGAGGCAACTTTTTTGGCGGGCATGCCACAAATTTGCCCCACACCTGCCCTGAGTGCCACTCCAATGCTCTTCCGCTGGATCAGTGGCTCTGCTTCCTGCCCCATTTGCTGCTGTGTTACTGGTCCCCTCCCCAGTCTGCCAAGTGCCACACACACAGAGGCTGCCCATGCCACAGGTTGGCCACCTCTGGACTAAAGCATGCTTGTATTGCAAAGGGAAGAAGACCCAGAGGACAGCAATAGATTAAGGAAGAGATGAAAGGTGCTACCATTCTCTCCTAAACCTCCTATCAACCCTCAATGCAATAAGTTGCAATTCATCATCAAAACATTTTAGCTGCAAATATTACTGCCAATTTAATCAATATATTCTAAAATGAATTCCTTAATGTTGACATTAAAGTCTACAGTCTATCCAGAACAATGCAGAACGAAGTGCCTGTGCAGATACTATGCAAGTATTCCTTGTAAAGTTAGTGTTTAAGCTTGGAACTACAAAGTTAAATAGTTGCTCTTCGGCAGAGTAAGCTTTTTAGCAGACTATTTAACTGGTGGTTACATTTGTTTCCTGTTTCTCAGATGCTTCTACATGTTGCTGTACAGCGATGTTGCTACCGTGCTGTGCTTTAGTACTTCCTTTTGCAAGTACTTAAGCATGGTGCAGTAACTGCCCGTACTGCGCTGTGCACACCACCTACAGTTAGATTTTGCCACTATGTCGCTGTAAAGGCGCACTATACCAAGGGAGTGCACCACTACGGCAACATAGCTGCCAATCACATGTAGACCCACACGATTGCTGCATCGCCGTAGTGCCATATGGCGACATGTAGATGCACCCCTCTAAAAGCAAATCAAGACGTTGATTCAGTTCATTTGCACTTGGGTATCTACTGATTTCTAACAGGGAGTCTTTCAGTGGCTTAAAACTAACTGGTACAACATAGACAATTGTTCAGGACATATTCCTACCTGAAGTTTTCCAAGACAAAAGTAGTTGAGTCATAGGCTGGTACTAGTTCACTGGGAAGAAAACATAGGTGAGTTGAAGAAAGCGGCCCGGAAGTAAAGGTGGAATTTACAAAATGCTCACATCGCATCACTGACATGCACAAGTATCACTGAAAGTTAGCAGGACAGTTCTAATTACTCAAACAACTCTGAAAATCACACACAAGATCTTTGAGGACATCAAGGTTAATAAGGCAGCAATACCACCACACTGTAGTTTTAAAGGTTCAAAAACACATCCTCTGTGCATGGGCACTAGTATGTAACATCTGAAATTAGAACCTACAATTTTAAGGCTTTTTTCCTCCGTTTAAGTTGCAAATGTTTTACATTTCATACAGCTTAGAAATGAAACCAGAACTATACATTGCAATTTCCTGTGGGGTCCCAACGAACTACGTGACCTGGTGTCTGCCACACTGGTAGTAAATGTTTAGAACCCATTAGAGAAAAACCAGCAACTGTTCTCAGTCCAGAAAGGGTTTATATAAGCTACGTGTTTAGAAGAATTCAAGTTCCTTTGGGAAAAAAATATTCTGAGGAATATTTTTAAAAGCACACAATATATCTGTCTGGTTCCATTGTCAAAAGTATCTATCTTTCTCCCAGATGCCCCTCTAACTGACACACCTTATCTATTTTATATACAGAGTACATATTTCTCCTGTCCCTATGGAAACTGACACAAAAACAGCTCAACCTGCTTAGAAGTCACAAGGAAGGAGAGCAAGAGTGGCTTAAAAACACCAGCTGTGACCTTTAGAAAGTTTACCATGATAGATTAGTTAACAACCAGAAAATGTAAGACTAGAGCCCATGTATTTATTTATTTTAAATTAAAAAAAAAAAAAAAAATGATAACATGAAGCTTGCTAAATACTTCATGTTTCAGAAGACAGAAGACCCTACCAACCCTTTTAAAATAAATATTTATTTTAAAAAAGGTTTCTCTGTCATGAATTTTAAGTATTAGTTTAGGAGAGCAGTGTAGGGTAATGTTTTTCAGGTTATTTTAAAAGCATGCCTCAAATAGCTTGATATGACTTACAAGATTTGAGGAATTCAAAATCCCTCAAAACACCAAGCTGTCAATTATCTGGAGAAATCCTGCAGTCAGTCAGCCTACTCTATATACAGATCTCTTCATAAACTCACACTGGTGCCTTCTTCCCAAAAGCAAACTCTGCCAGCCAATCATTTTTGCTGTACTATGTACTAAAGGTGACCTGCACAAGTATCTCACGAGAGCCTTACAATTATACGCTGAATGCCCCCAATAGCAAGGGCAAGAAGGGCAATCAGTATACAAGCGATTCACTGCTTATTCCATTATACCAACCGGATCCCACTGCTCTGATGCCTCAGCCGACACTACAGCCTGACATCAATTACGAGGGAAGCCCTGATGGAGCAAAAAAGGCAGCCTAGGAGGACGGTGAGGGGAACAAGGGAAGCGACTGGTTATTTTTAGATATAAAGGTAAATCTAGACTCAGGATTCAGCCTGAGAAACCAAGCTAGACACCAGGGAGAGGAGAGTAATCTCCCCCACAGACCACCACTGCTGGAGCCAAATGACCAAGCACCTTCAGTGACCTACCAGATTATGGGTGGATGTGGGGGGGTCTCTCCAGCAACGCTTCCCATTCCTCCAGCCTTCACAGTGCTGTACAGCAGCTTGTTCTTATCCTAGCTGTATACCAGGCTTGCACATCCCCACATCCAGCCACCCTCCTGCACAGTAAAATTGCACCGGTTCAGTCCCCTCAGCTTGATACACTGCTATATGCTCTTAGAGCACACTTGGGAATACTCCAGGTTAAGAGAAAGTTTATTCGTTTTTCCCCGCTCCCAGCATTCCACACGGCTCAAAACCATTTAGGTATTTAAGAATTTAGTCTCGTGTAAAAAAATAAACATAAAAACCCCTCTAACTCCAAATTTTTTAAGATAGCCTTCAAGATCTAACAAATCCTATAAAACATAAGAAATGTAAAGCGGTACCTTGTAAAGTCTGGAGGGACAGGGGTAGTGACAAAAGATGCCATAGGCTTCCTGTGAACCTGCTGAAACATCATCAGGATCTCCGAGCTCTTAGATATCAATTCACTCTTACTGCATGATCGCAGCTGTGCAGAAGAATGCAGACAATACATTTCAGTGTCATTAAAGGCAATGGTATTTTTAAATAAAAAGCACCAACGCAAAAGGTAACAACTACCTTAGGTTCAAAGGGGGAGAGATTACAATGCTGCTCCCAAATTAACATATTTAAATTGGTTAGAATTTTCACTGAAAGGCTATTACAAGAAGCAAAAAACAAGCCAAAAACAAAAAAAATTTGCCAATGATAGCAAAACATCTGGAGATGAGACCCGACTGGGCCTTGCCAGGATTAGTTTAACATTACATTACGCAATAGAGTGAAATACGCCCACCTACATTAAGACAGGTCTTCTATACTTTGTGCTCTCTTATCATCAGATATACTCGCATGCTAGTTCTTCATCCAACTAATCAAGCAGTATATTATCGCAGTAAAAGACTGATGTGGAATGTAAATTTAGCTTCCCTTCCTCGAGTCTAACACACAAAGCCAGAACATTTTCAGTGTAATACAGCGTGTCTTTTCAAAATTAGATGACTCAAGTAGTAATAAACACTTTAACAAGAGGGGGGAAGAACCTAATCTTTTGTGTCTTTTGAACAGCTGATAATATCCTTTTTAACAGGCAAAGCTGTTGCGAAAATACCCAGTTCAACTCTATTTCTTCTTTATAATTGAGACATGAGAACAACATGCCTGAACTAGAAAGCTAAAGTTTTCCACCTTGCTCAGGAGAGAATAATATGTACTTAACAGCAAACACCTTTTTGATATAAATTCAAAAAAATCTATTATTCCTTAAAAATAATAGGAAAGCCAAAACCTGTATATGTAATTAAAAAGTTCTAGTAAGCTATAGAAGTCTAGTAGATAATAGATGTTTCTCTACCGTTTACCAAGTATTGAGACTCCCGATTACAGGAAACATAAGGAATGTTAACTTTTCTGCATGACTGAAATGTTGACGACTTGAATTTTATAAAACACAACAAAGTCCTCTGAGTTGTATGACATAAGGAAAATGGTTTTGGAATGAGGTATGAACAAGAGGACAACAGAAAATATGCCCGCATACAGTCTGGAAGAGCACTTGCCAAACGGCACTGGCTACTGCTACGGACATTAAGGATGGAAAAAAATGCCTATAAAATGCAAGGGTAGAATCACATTTCCAGAACAGGTGATAAAATGGTTACACTTTAGACACACAAAGAAAAAAAAGCAATACAGGACAGAGAACTTAATTCACATAAAGGAGAAGTTCCCTACCACTACCCAGAAGCCTTGAAGATCTTCTTCCAGGCTTCATCATGCACAACTTATTATATAGAGGGACTGAGGGGGGGGAAAAAAAAAGATTCCTACTTGCCCTGAGCAAGTGAACATTTTCAAGGTGAGCGCAGTCAACCTCTACTAGGTAACTTGCGCTTTCAATTTGTTTTTAACCCTTCTGGTTGGAAAGAAAGCCTTCCAACTGTGAAGTGAGCGGGGGTAAGTGTGGAGGGGTGGAAAATGTCAATGTAATGACATCTTGCTACACAGCTGCAGTCAGACAACTCTAGAGTATTTGCCATGTCACAACTTGAACAAACCAAATAATTATGCTGTTTTCACATTATTGCTAGTAACTTCTTACTAATTACCTAGTTATCCAGAAGGCAAGAGATTACATGAAGAAGAATGTTCTGTCACTTAAAGATGGAAGCCAGAAAAAAAAAAAAAAATTTGGGAAGGATTGTGGGGTATATCCAACTGCATCACAAAAGAAAATAATGTAGTCCTAGCCCATGGATAAATGCATCATTCAAAACAAAGGGACAAACTGATAAGTCTCCTCATCTAGCGTCTAACACTTCCACAATGATTTTTTTCCTAATCACCTGGTGTTCTACTTCCTGCAGGAGGGATTCCAGAAGTTCAGTTTCCTGGGTGAGTGATGTCTTTTGACCTGTTTAAAAGAAAGATCTACTGATGATTTTTCCAATGAAGCTCCTTTCTAGAGATTGCTCTAAAACCTAGTAAGGTAAAGGATTTCTAAATATATCAAGGTTGACGGAAAAGACATTTTAAAGGAAGTCCACTTTTTTAATTAGAGCTGCAGTGAATGAGTCACCTGAGGTTTAACACAGTAATGAAACATTCCTAATGTCCCAGAAACGACAAAGGGTTTCTGGCAGAAAAGCATTTTGTACTTAAATGAACTTATTCTGATCAATCAAACTTAACTTGAAAAATAATTTTTGATGTTAAAAAGTCACATCTTTAAAGGAAAAAAATTGAATTACATTGTTTAAATATAATGTTTGCACATTACAAAAGGCATTAAGACTGTAGCAAGACAAAATAGAAAAAGACTCCAATTCAAATGTATTCGGATACAGGGATTTGCTTTCTCTCTATCAAATATTAATTAATACTTGTAAAGCACTTTGCAGTCCTTAGAGAAAAGCTCTTAAGTGCAAAGCATTATTCTGCACAAGCCAAATAACTAGGGCAATCTAAGTGGTTTAATAACTAACCTTCAATCAGTGCATCTCTGAATCAAATGCTGCGACTGATTACAGCATTCAATATGGGCATGTTTAAGTGCAGCAATGCCTGATCCTAACTTAGAAATAGCTTAACTAAAATAAAAAATAGGGCCTTCATTTGGTAATAATTATATCCTAGATTTCTGTTAAAAACAGACAGTGTATTATGTTTGCTATCATGGCTTATTCTCTTCATACAACATACAAAACGTATATTGTAACTGTCAAAATTCATGTGTTAAGTAACCCTTTCAGGCATGCAAATTTCAAAATATTTCTTCTAAACAAAAACATCCAGGGTAAGCCTTCAGCATAGTGTGTTATTTATATTATAGTTAATCATTAGGGAAGTTCCTGTTCCCAGGAGTTTACAATCTACAAGAGGAGTTGGCAAAATGTAGCCTGCAGGCTGGATGCAGCCCACCAGGCCATTCTATCTGGCCCACGGTGACCCTAAAAATTTAGAAAATTAATATTTATCTGCCCCCGGCTGCCTGTAACGCAACCCTCAATGGCTTGCCAAAACTCAGTAAGCGGCCCTCTGCGCGAAATAATTGCCCACCCCTGATCTACAAGCCTAGTTGTGTATACTGCATGACCAAAACCCTAAGAAGCAGTCTCACCAATCCAAAGAAATTGATACCCCAAATTAGGGTGATTAATATTTAGCTCACTGTGCATTCCTTTAGGTAAGTGAAATCAAGTACTAGATGGAGAGAATTAAGTAGTTACCCGTACTTGTCTGAGGCCAGACAGAAGGCAAGGGACATTTGCATCTTTATAGACTAACTAAATCAGAGATGTATAACATAAGCTTTTGTAAGTAGAGGGCTTACTTCATCAGGTGCTGTGAAGGGACTGTTTCCACTACGGAGATGTTTTCCCCTTGGGACCAAAAGGACTTGACAGTTTATTCAAAAGATATACACAGAAGTAAACCCAAGGATTGCACAACAAGATGTTTGCACATACATCCACACATCTCAAACTACTGTACAAGCATTATGTAAGCAAGTGTCCCTGTACTTAGAAGTACCTCCATCCTACTTATAAAAGGAAGAACAGAGGGAAAGGTTATATGATTCGCCCAAGACCAGTAACAGTCTAAAACAAATGCGTGTAGGAGTTCCGATTCTAAACACCCTGCTTTCACCCTCAGACAATGCTGTCTATTTACAGAGCTAAAGTGCTACTCAGCACAGAGAAATCCCATGCTGAAAATGTCTTTAAAAGATAGGGTGGGATACCACAAAGGTAGTAAATTACTGCCATCAGGAAATAACACTTCACGCTTTGCATCTTCAAAGTGTAGCGCAACCATTTGTCTTAACAAGGTGGTACACAAACTTCAAGTCACCATACGACAGTCTCTAATGGCATTAAAACGTAGTTACGTCTAACTGCAAGTTAGATCACAGTAACCATGCAATTAGCAAGTGGCACTGCTATATTTAGAAACCTTCTGTCTTCAACTAAAAGCCAGGAAACTGCTGTATGCGCAAGCAGCATACAATTCAATGGAAGAAAGAAACACGCACACACCCTGCCGTAAGATTTTTTGGCATGTTAGTCTACCTCTTACACTTACATCAGGGCAGACAAATACCTACCCATTAGTGTTATAAGCTTGTTCTTCAGTTGAGTATCTAACCGGGCAATCATCATCTCTACAGCATTCCTGATTTCCCGAACTCGTTCATCCTTCGCACTGCGTACTGCCTCTACGTTTCTTTCCTGAAAGAGGGTCCAGGAGTAACATGCAGATAAATGGAGACAACCTTTTCCACAGAAGGCATAAAAATAAGCTGTTTTTGAAAGCAACTGAGGAGTAGAACAGGTGCAAATAATTGCCCACGAAATACAAGAAACTGCAGTTGCTGTAGGAAGACTTGTTTTGTTATGGAGGTATTTGCTATTTGCTATGGAGGTATTTATAACTCGATCTTGTTAAAGCAAGAAAAACAGATTACGTTTAAACGCATACAATAGTGTACCAACACTACTATGGACAGGTTTAAAACCTATTAATCTGGTCATGATTAAAATCCCCATTTTTAAAACACGGCCTATTTTCTGAGTCTAGACAACCAGACTTTTTATTATAGCAAATCACTATTAGCAATTTAAATACTTCAGTTTTCTACTGTGAATATATTTAGGTTTTTATTGAGTCATAAGCGTGCCCCCTGGTGGTGACCGAAGGTCTACAGGATAAAAAGCAAGGCACATTTTTCTCAGAGTGATTTCTCAAACCAGTCTTGTAAGCATCAAATGCCCCCTTGAAACTACAGTTTATAGAGTTTCTTCTATGCAAAACAGAACAACAGACAAAATAAAAAGATATAACTTCCTGGAAACAGCAGCCAAAGCAAAAGGAAAAAAATTGTTTAAAGAAGTGCTGACATTTACAAAAGGTACTTTTCCTCCTTGAATCATCCCAAAGCACTTCACAAAACATGTGAGAACATACACACAATACCTCCAACAGATCTTGGTCATCTTGGGTGTGAAGCAGGGCTAATCAACCAGCACACACTGCAAACCAACTGAAGGGAGCAAAGTATGGCAAGGAAGAACAAGCAAACCTCTTTCTAACTTTAGAGCAAATAAGAATGTGCTCAGGTACAGCACATGAAACCTTATTTTCATTTTACTCAAAAGGTTTGTACGCTACATTGCACGCTTGCCAGAGAAATCTGAGAGTAAGGAGGACTGAACTGTCCTAATGGAATCTAAATCTGTAATTCCAGAAAACTAGATGCTTCAAGCTTTAAGATTACATCAAATATAGCTTGGCAGTTTTTGTTTTGGTACAACTATGCCATTTAGAAGTGTGAATGTTTCTCCAAATTAGTTATAACATTACAACCACAAGCATGAGCTCATTTGCAGCAGAGCAAGTTGCCTTATACCAGTGCAGCCAATTTCCACTTGGAAAGGGAAACAAGCTATCCTGGAACATGACACTGTTGTTCTGGTAAGACTAAGTCATGTCAAAGGGACTGTACCTTACCTACACCAGTTTAATTAGAGGGACAACCTACCTGTTTAGGCAAGCCAGCATCCAGCTGCAGCTATCCCTGCAAGTCTCCCTATGGGATAAGCTAGCCCTTCACTGAAGGGTTTTCCACAAGACTAACCGCACAAAGTCCACACAAAACATGATCAAGGGCATGCTGCAGCACATCGCTTCTATCAGGAATTCTCTCTTTTCAATCCATCTCTAACTTCTCTCCTATTACTGATAACCGGAAGACCTCAGTCTTACATTTGTTGTGCAGACCAAAAGATGGAAACATTTCCCTGGATTGATTTCTTACCACTTCTTGCACTAGGCTGATCAGCTCCATGAGTCTCCTTCGAAGCTTTGCTACCTCTTCGTTCACTTTTGTGACATGCTGCTCATAAATTTCTGCCAGTGGCTTAAATGTGTGTCCTCCATGCTATTAAAAAATGGAAACAACAGAACATCCCATTTTACTGCACTGCTATAAAGAGGTGCCTTCTTCCCAGGCCTCATTCATTTGGCTGAAGGTTCCAGAGGAGACTTTTGATAGGAAGTCTGCCCTTCACTTCTCTAAGTAACAAAAAAGCACCAGCTGTGCTTCCTGCAAAGACTTACTTGGAAATTGAGCACACATCCAAAAAGGAGCATTTACATTTACTGTGCAATGTTTTAACTAATCAAGCTAGGCAAAAAAATTGTTTGCATGAAAAAGCTATATATCTGTTGACAGTTCAGCCAAAAAACTGAACTACATGAAGTGTCTGCCTCTGAAGACTGTGTACATTTTGCCCTTGTCTTTCTCCTAGAGAAGAGAGAATTCTTTCAAAAGGCCATATAATACAACACAATGTACCTTTTTCCTACAAAACAAAACAAAACAAAACAAGCTGCATTGGAAAGATAATACAATAAAGCTTTTCAAACTGTTCCCACAATTAGGAAAAAAAATGTAAATGTAAATGTAACTTTTAAGCCAAAACTGACTTAGTGTCTCTCTTCAATCAATCAGATTTAGGGAGCTTTGCACTGGAGTCTAGGATATATTCTGTTGAGAGCTAAGCAAGGAGAAAGCTATTCTAGTTTCCACTCAAATTGGAGAAGGAAGCAGCAGATGTCTATAGGGAGCATACCACAAAGGAGATGGCCATCTTTCCTGACCAAGGAGTGGCCCCCAAGTACCCAAGATTACATTGGTATTAAGCATACAGCAGTAATCATAGTTTTGGGCAAAGGACTCATTTCTTGTGCTAGAACTTTCTTGTTGTTACCTTCAGTTTGTCTACAGTAGTTTTGATCATGAAATATACAAGGGTCATTCTAGCCACGTTCCAACAGCACTTTCCTGCTTTACTATGTGGCATAAAATATTGCCTAAATTAAAGCCCAAATTTACCAGACTCTTGTTTTCCTGTAGCTGTAGTTTTTGATAGGCAATTTGAAAATGATAGTAAGAGTCTTATGTCATAATTACCATTTCTACAACAATTTAAGCACTACAGAGACAGTGGCCCATTTTTCCATGTACACATGACATGCTGTGAACTGTGTACTCACCATTCCTCCCCAGAGGGCGCATTGGTGGCAAATACATTTCTTACATGTCCAGCAGAACACACTCAGCTTTTCATGATGATTTTCACACCTATAAAAAAAAACAGTTATGGGAAATTACACAACTGTAAGTAGGGTACAAAGCAGGTTTTTTTGTTGGCATGGCTTTGGGAGCAGAGCAGTAAGTTCTAGGGGTGACCAAAGGTTTCCAAATAACCATTAGCCAAAATAAGTTGCAAATGACAATTTTTTTTAAATAAAGAGGTCTCAGCTCCCATTAGCGATCAAGATCCAAGATACTTGAGAAGCTATTTATCTCTGCTCCTCCAAGACAACCACGATGGGCAGGATTTGCTGGACCGGGATGTGAATCTTTGGAGTTCAATGACTCCCAAATGCTGGTGTCACGCTTATACGGTCACCTGGATTAATTTTTTATCCTCGGCATTACAACCTGTCTCTGGCTGTCTTCTGCAATAAGGGCAGGAGCAGTCATTTTAATGTCATCTTCAAGACTGTGCAAGACCTTCCTTGATTCAACTATGTTTCATCGATCTTTATCAAGAGAGTATAGAAACTTAAAATGAACATGCAAGGCAAAAAAAAAAAGACCGCATAGAATACAATAAAACTGAACACTCTTAAGTTCATCATTTGAATATCTTTGCTGACGTGCAATTAACCATCAGGTAGGTCACATGGGAACCAGGTGCTCAGATATGAAGTGTTGCTTTAATAGTGTTATAGTTTTCATTGGCTCTTTTTTACTATCTTGCTTTTTGGTGAATGGCTGTTCTGTGGTTTTAACCATAGTTGACAAGACTACCACACAAGTTCTTGAAATGAAACATAAAACACTCAACAACAAAATACAAGATATGAAAGGCTTAACTGTGCCCAGGAACTACACTGTATTGCTACTGAAACTGAACAAGGCCTCACTTGGTCCAGCTTCTATTTGCTAGAGAACAGAGTTCAGAAAATGTCAGCTTTTGTCCCTCCCCAGTTTTTTAAAACTGTAAATGCTCCTCGGTATTAATGCCTTTCACATAAGTTTCTGCTTCAGAGGTAAAATGCACAGCCAGCTCCACAGAGCAGCAAATGCCATCACCACACTCTTCCTCTTGTTAGAGCAGAACTTCAAACCCAGTGGTCAAATGGCATCTATGCCACCAAGGTACCTGATTGGATTTCTGGAAAAAACAGATTGTTCTACTGTTATTCTTCCAAGAACTTACAAAATTTTCCATTTTAGAATTTTTTTTTAAATTCAAACACTTCAATGTTTACTCATGTTAGGTTTCACAACATTAGAACGAATAAGAATAGCAACATTAAAGCATCTGAAAGGAAAGAAAAGCTGGACCACTATCATCCCATTTTATAAACAAGCTGATGAACCCATTCAAACAAACCTGATGGATGGCTAACTCCAAACTGCCAAACCCTAAGGATCTGCAAAAGGTCCTTGTTGTGCTCATCATCTGCCACCCACAATCACCATGAATGGAAATGAGCAATAAAGGAACACCTGTCTTCGTTCTTCCCATGTCCTTCTCTCAAAGAACATTAGGCCATACTGGTGCAAATGTAATTTTATAAGCTTTTTCTTTTACAGCCTAGAGAAACTCTGTTTTTTATACCACTTTTACACCACCTCTAGAAGTAAGAAAGTCAGTTGCTAGCTTTTTGCCACCCTTTGACTAGAATCATGAAGTTCAAAGGGATGTTAAGTGGTAGCATGAGAGAACTGTGCACACCAATGGACAGTGGGAGAGGAACAAAACTGACTTCTACTACTTCATTGCACACTCCAGTGTGCCAGTACTTAGGAACTCTAATTCAATTCCTAACTGTAAACAGAGGAGAATTAAATGCCTGCTGTTTTGAAGGTTTCCTGGTTTATTTCAAAATGAAGAGTCTGTTCTACATACTTGTCTCTCTCATTTTCCTCATGCTTGTTAAGGTTGCATAGCTGAAGTGTGTCAAGTTGTTGTGTAACCTCCTCTGCCCAACGACAGTTCACAAGTTCCCGTAGCTGAAGTGGGGCTCTGCAAATAAAAATAAATGCCAAAGTTAGATTAAATAATTCAATTTCAGGATCCTAAATACAGTAATGAAACTAGTCTTTTCAATTTCACTCAGCTGGGGGAGTGGGGGTTACCACCTGCCATTGAGAACTTGCTTTTTCAAGCCCTATATTTATGGGATGCATATTGTAAAATCTTGTCCACAAAGCTGCTATTTCATTGGATACATTACACCATGTCTGTTCTTTGACAGATCAGTCACATAGAGGGCAACTTCCAGACTACTGAAATTTACAGGAACTGATCGCCCAGGAGAGGGACTAAGCAAAGAGAGGAGATTCAGTAATAGTTATGAGTGGAGCCCTATCCAGTCCTCCTGGCTTGATAATGTAACAGGTCAAAATTACTAAGAATTTAGCCAAACTAAGAGGACGAAGGGGGAAGAAATGACTGGGCTGGTGTCTGGATAAATCTGTATATCCTATTAAAAGCAACCTTCAAACAGAAACCCACAACTTTCCATAGTATATACTTTCCAAAATAATAACCATTGCAAAACAAACTACATGCATTTCCAGGATATTCCTAATATATTAAAGTTACCTTACCGACAGTGAGGGCACTGAGCTCTTTGTTCGGTCAGCCAACGCTGAAGAAAAAAAACAAAAATGCACATTTTAAGAGGGTATTAAAAAGTTAAGGAGAGAAGAGTCACACATGCTAGTCTCTTGTTCTTATTTCAACAGAAGTCATTTTTTCCCCTGTTTCAACCTGCTACTTTTCCTTATTTACATACAAATAATTTAAAGTTAGCTCTCAGCAACAGAATTATGTTGAATCAATCTCAAAATCCATACAAAACTGGGGGGGGTGTCTGTTTGCTTTGCTCATTTAATACATTTTCCATTAATAAAGGGAGTGCTGAGATATCCACCATTCTGTTAGAAACCAAAGAATGCATACATTTTTCTAGGGGTTTAGGTTGTAGCCGTGTTGGTCTAAGGATATAGGCAGACAAGGTTCCTTGGGTGAATTTGATATCTTTTATTAGACCAACCCAAATGGTTGGAGAACAGTTATTAAGCAAGCTTTTGGGTTCAAAAACCCTTCGTCAGGCTCAGGAAGCTGCAGCAACTGAGCCTGACGAAGGGTTTTTGAACCCGAAAGCTTGCTTAATAACTATTCTCCAACCATTTGGGTTGGTCTAATAAAAGATATCAAATTCACCCAAGGAACCTTGTCTACATTTTTCTAGTTATACAGAAGAATATATTAGCAAAAAGGTGCAGTGGGGGCAGTGCAGGTATTTCTCTCTGCCTTTGATGCTAGTCTTTGGGGTATCACGAATTCTGACCCTGTTTCTGACCCTAGAAAGCTAGTTTGATAGCTTTCTTTCAGTAGTTAGTGGAAGCAATAATAATTCAATAGGCCTCACTGTGGGGTTCTGGAAGATAAACTTCTTACCTGGCTTATCTATGCCTCCCAAAGAACAGCATCAACTCAATATAACATGCAAATGCAAACTTCAGCAATTAAACTGCTTATTTTAGGTCAGCCTCACTACTATGTTACAGCCTCCCTTCAGCAAAAGAGCAACACCCTGATCTGTCATTACAGTCTTTCATCTATAATAATTATTTGCATAGCTTACAGGTCAGAGGATGATTTTTCTACTTGCCAGTCCTGCAAACACTACCCTTAAATCAGAGAGTCTTAACTGATCTTGTTTTCTCTTCCACTATCACAAGACAAATTTCCACACACTAAACCAAACTGAACCAGCTCACTAATTAAAGCGCCTGGCACCACAATGCAAAGCATGTATAAAAGTACCCAAAGAATACAATGAGTGAATATGCTGAAAGCTCTGAAGTGAAGAAGGAAAAACACATACATTTGGGTACCTTACATATTATTAGTTACCATTGTTAAATTTACTGCATACATGCAAATTAGAAGATGAAAACGTAACTTACCCGAATACAACTGAAACAACATAGCTTGGAGCAGTGGGGACACAGGCGCGCATCACGCAACTTCTCCATACAAATAAAACATCGGAATACTTCCGCAATGCTCTGCAAAAGTGATTCATGCCACTGTTAAGACACACGCTTGAACTGTGTTTCATTTATTCTCCAAACAAAATGCTGGATTTAACTAAAAAGACGCTCTACTTTGAAGGGCTATGGACAAAGCTACTGCTTATTCACAGACAAACATCATGGATCATATTTCCCCTTTTCTCCAGGCCACACTGTTAGTTTAATGACCATTTTAAAGCCTTTTATTTCCCCAGGCAGCATTTACTTTGCTTTGGTTTATCCCTTTATTTCTCCATTTATCTGCTTTTGCAAGGATGAGACATTGTACAAGTGAGCTATCATATAGCTACACTTGTACCTATACGATATCAAGCAGTTGCCAAGTGAAGAGGTACTCTTCACAGAGATTTCCACACCTACAAATTTTACCTCACTGGCAGTAAGCCTTGTTTAAGAAAATATGTATGTAAATATATTTATAACTTTACAGCATGTTAATGGGAAGGTACTGAACTAAAAATAATTTAAAGACCGTATGCTCCCTTGCTTACATTATTCTTTCAAGTCTGAAGTCCACATTCACCACCTACTCTCCCAGCAATTTCTTTACTTCTTCCACTTTGCTCAGCTTGGAGAATAAAGTCATGATCTGTTAATAAGCTGGATCTAGAGCAAGTCAAGATTTTGTGAAAATAAGTAAAGAAACAGAAGTATTTTGTACAGGCTGAAATCTCGGTCTCTGTTTCTGAAGGAACAATAAAACTGCTAGGATCCCAAACTGATATTTGTGAAACCTCAGGCCAGCATAAATATCATGAAGGTTTTTAGTATATATACACATCTACTGACAACAAATGCCCTTTACAATGCTCCTCCATGGTTTGAGACCCAAGCTTTAAAACACTCTGTCAAAGTGTGAGAACCTGACTGTGATAGACTAGTTTACTGTTTGCTCCAGCTCAGCTTGAATGACAGAACTTCAGCTACAGCAACATGACATAAAACAATCAAAGAAAATCCTTGTCTCAACCACTACAATTAACACTAAGCTAAATAAATCACTAGACCTGCAGCAGGTTGCAGATTTGCCCTACTTTAGCATTCTGCAGCATTTGCAGTCTTCAATTCTTGCAAAGGAAATCTTTTGTTTCCCATGTAAATCACTAGCCACCTCTGGAAAAAGAGATACCTGATCTACAATGCATATTCATGAAAGAAAAAAAAAAGAGGTTGGTAGATATAAAGTTATTTGTATAAAGGCACATGAGATGGGGCACAAAAATATTTCCAATTTACCCCATTCTACAGTCCTTTCATTTCATAAAACGTTTAGGACTTTTTGAAGGGAGAGGAACAATGGCATTTGCCAAACCTAATCAAACCAGTGATCCATCTAGCTCCATACCCTCTCTTTTAAAAGCGGCCAGTATCAGATGAAAATGCAAGACAGCAAAAAAGTAAAGGCTAAACACCATAGGTCAGCAACCAGCCACTGCTCTAAAGCACGAGGGCTTATATATCCCTTCTAAAAATGAATATAAAACTCTTGATCCATAAACATCTGATTTTTTTAAACCCAAGTACTGGTGCTCTAAGAAATCTTGTGACAATAAACACTAGGGGATAACTACCTACCATGTAATATGAGAAGTGTACACTTACACATTACCTTATTTTCCTGAATTACTGTCATCGTGTCCTGTCTTAGGCCTGTCTACTGGGGAGGTAAATTGCCCAGCCTGAGTGCATGAGAATCACTGTTCTGCGACACCTATCCCAGCGTCATTTCCTTAGTTATGCCGCTCAAGTTCCCCATGTAGACAAGCCCTTATTTATTCACCTCCTGTCTACAGCAGGCTGTCCTAACCTTTTCATTCTCTCTTTACGTCTGTTCTTCCATAGTTCAAACCATTTGGGCCTCCCAGCTCTGAACAACGCTGGCTTTTCCAACCAACGAGCATTAAAAGCAGGGTGTGAATTAAGGGGGACTTGGGAGGGGGCTAAGCCAGCCCCCCATAAGAGACCAGAGCCCCCCACAAGATTTGAAAATCATAACCGGGGGAGGGGGGGTCCTCTGATCAGCTTGCTCCTTCACTTACGTGACCTTCTTAATCAATAAGCTGGTTTAATTTTTATTTTCTTTGCAGACCCCATCCCCAAGAGTCAAAGTGTAACTCCAACCCTGATTAAATGCAAGAGCGGGCGTTTCTTTTTCCTAAATAGAGCTGAGCCTATGGGCATTTGTACACATGGCTGTGCTGCAGAGCTAGGTGCTTCCGACAGCGCCCGGCGCCGTGACGCACGCAGTTGTACAAGCGGCGACGTGCGTCAGCGCTAGGGTGGCCATCGCAGAGGACATCCCCGTTTTCTGCTCCTCTGTCGATACAAAACCCGACACCTTTATGTCCTCTAGATCTCTCTTCAAGACAGAGAACGTATTTTTGTCTTCGACAGAAAAACAGAGGGCGTAAAGACATCCGGTTTCGTATCACCACAGGACACCCGGACCGTCCTCTATGGTGGCCACTTACCAGGGAGGGTTTAAAATGTGCGTTTGCCTGCCCGACGCGCCGAAACCTCCTGGGAGCGATTCAAATGGAGCTGGGGACCCTGCGGGCGCCATCGCAGACGACAGTCCGGTTTTCTGCTCCTCCGTCAATACGAAACCAGACGCATTTTTGTCTTCGAAGATAAAAGCGGCGGACGTCAAGGCGTCCAGTTTAGCGCCGACGACGGACGGAGGACAACCGGACTGTCCTCTCCGACGGCCGCCCCGCTCGGCGCCCAGAAAGCGGTGCCGTGCTCCCGAACTAAACCGCAGCGCAGACGTTTCGGTTCGAAAGCGCCCCGCTGCCGTTTCCTGCGCGTCTCGCCGCTCGCACCCCTTTGCTCCCACCCGCCCGGACCCCCGGCGCGTCGTGGGACGAAAGGCACGTGTGTAAGCGCCCGCGTGAAATGAAACGCCGTTTCCAGGCCTGCGCTGCACAAACGCCCGCACTGGCTCGGGGGCCTCTCAGCGCCCCTTGCCCCCGGGGTCTGCTCGTCCATGACGTCGGCCCTGCGGGGAGAGGGAGGGAGGGAAGGAGGGTAGGGTGAGGTGAGGTGAGGTGAGGTGAGGGCAGGCGGCGCTGCTCAACGGCCCGGCTCCCTCCACGGCCCGGCCATGTCCGCGCGCCCCGCCCCCTCGCAACGCGCATGCGCCCCGGCCCAGTCCTCCCGCCCCCTCGCAACGCGCATGCGTCCCGCCCCAGACCTCCCGCCCCCTCGCAACGCGCATGCGCTACTGGAGGTTCCCATCCTGGCTGCTGTATGCAGGGGAAGGGGATGAGGATTCACAAGCTGCAGCAAGGCTGCGTGTTGGGGGACGTTGCTCCCGAGGAGGGTGGTGGAGAGCCGCAGCAGGGCTGCCCAGAGACGTGCCCGTCTTTGGAGGTGTTGAAGACATAAAAAAGGCTTGGGTGGGATGATGCAGTTGGAGCAGGGGGTTGGACCGCATGTGACCCCCTGAGGTCCCTTCCCACCCTCCTCCGAGAAGTGAAGGGCTGCAGCCAGCTTCAAAAATGGCCCATGGGGTGACAATGTGACCTTGCAAAAGGTTGATGGGTCTTCTGTCACTTCTGTCTGTGCCGCCTGCCCGCCTCTGGTTGCAGAGGGGGGAAGGGAGGGGTTTCAGCCCTGCTCCAATTCCCCACTAAAGCCACTTGGGGAACCCCTAGACCCACGGTTCTCCACCTTTTTTTGTAGCAGGACCCATTTATAAACATCCACGGCCAGCACCCCTCGCTCCCCACGCGTGTGGGGCAGCGGTGGGTACGTGGGGCATGGTGAGGTGTGTGGGGGGCAGGGGACTGCCTGCCTGCAAGGGAAAAGCCACCGTTTCCCCATGTTTTTCTCCTTTAAAAGCTCAACGAGCCATTTCTAAACTTTTTTCATGACCCTTTCATACTTTCTTGTGACCAGCTTTTGGGTTGCGACCCTCAGGTTGAGAAACACTGCACTAGAAGGAGCTCCGGCTCCCTCCTTCCTTCCTTCCTTCCCTGAGAGCAGGGACAGGCTGAGAGAGGGGCCATTGCTGGGGAAAGCTGACTGCAAGTGGCAGCTAACAGCTGGATTCCCCAACCTGCTGGAACCAGCTGTGAACATCTGTTTGTTTCCAGGGATGATTGCAAACCCCAACCCTTCCCGCAAAGTGTTTTTAGTTACAGCAGGGACCTGTACTTCTGTCTGCAACCACGTTTTTTCAAGCACTGACTGTAGAGCTGGTTGGCTCTTTTGGTAGCTGGAGAGTCATTTTTACCCTGTGACAATTACTTTGCAAGGGTGGCTGGTCTACATTTATTACTCAATTAGCCCGTTAGTTGTGATAATTACATTGCACCTGTGGCATCTACATTTATCTGGGGAATAATCAGTTAATTGTGTAACGTATGCAAGTATAGTAGGGGCTTAAGGGCCCTGCTACACATTCAAATGAAAGCTGGCTAGAAGCCATCTCTAAAGTTGTTGCATGTTTTTCAAGCACTGATGTTACAGCTGGTTGGCTTTTTTTGTAGCTGGAGAGTCACTTTTATCATGTGATAATTACTTTGCAGGGGTGGCCAGATTAATTGGCTAATCACAGGATAAATTTAATCCTATTATTAGCTAGTTAATGGTATAGCAGGGGCCTAGGTGTTTTAACTAAAACCTTTGAGTTATAGAGCCAGGATAGTAGCTGAGGACATCAGATTGCATTCAAATTTCAAAGGGCAATCATCTAGCTCTCGAGGTTACAGAAAAAGCTCCTGCACAAGGCATGTTTAGCTTCTGACCTGTGGGCCAAATCCAGCTCATGGAGTCAAGGGATCTAGCCCATTGGGCTCTGCACAGGTCTAGGAATCTGGAAGGGGGAGTGGTGGAAATTAACCCTACTACCCCTCCACCACTGCTAAATTTTCAGGCACAGTGGAGCCAGGGCAGGCTACTGTTGCACGGGCAATGGGGGTTGGGCCTGGTCCAAGCTGTAGCAGTTTTCCCCCCCAGTGACACATAAGTCCTGGGAGCTGCACTTGATAGAGGTGGGCCAGCCTGGCTCTGCTCCTTGCTGCCACATGCAGCTCCTGGAACTGGTGGGAGCCAGGCACTGCTGGCAGGGGCTGTATGGCATGGGAGGGTCCCCACACCACCCCATCACACCCCACATACTGCCCACCCAAGCTCTGCGCTTCCAGCATCCCACTGAGCGCAAGCTCTGGGCTCTCTGCTCCCACCAGCCCCATGCTCCACCCAGCTGCAGCTTCCCTACCTGCTGTCCGGAGCAAGCACTGCAGCACGAAGACGAGCAGGAGCCCGCTGGAGGCCAGGGAAGCCGAGCAGGTCCTGGGGCAGCTGCAGCAGTGGCCCCACCCAGAAGTGGGCTTGCTGGCTGGGACTGTCCTGCACATGAGGGTGGGAGCAAAGCGTGCAGGCTGGGTGGGGTATAATGCATTGGTAAGTGCCCGTGGGCCATATATTTTGTCTGCTCCTGTTCTAGCTACATGGCCAGATCCAGCCCACCAGCCAGATACCTAAACCATACAAGGTTAATAAGACAATTCAAATCATGCTATTTTTAAAGTGATCTCTCTGTTCTTGGGAGTCCTCACATGGTTTTTAATGCCTGGGGTTGGTAATACTAAAATTTATGGCACACATTTGAAAAGCACTTCCCTCCACCTACCTGCCAGAGAGATGGCAACTCGGGATTCTCTGCTGCTCATGCTACGGTTGATGACATCGCTAACACCTAAAGCAGTTTAAAGGCAGTTTCCTGCAGCTGTTACAGAAGCCACATGCACCTCTATATTTCTTTTTTCTCCCCTAACTTGAAGGTTTAAGTTTTACTTCCACTTCTAGACCTTCTCTAGGCCATTTTGCTGGATTCAGCTACTTGAGGTATATGGATAGAGGCCAACCTATTTCTAATCACTACAGAAGGGGTGCATAGCATATACTTTAAAAGACTTTCCAGATAACTGGCAGTTAGTAGTGTGAACATCTGTGGGGGGAACCAAGAAGGTCATAACTCAGAAGAGAAACCCATAGAAGGCTGCATCTACACAGTGTTTGCCAGTGTAGTTATATTAAGAAGCCATCATAATGGAGACAACTACAGTTCCTTTGCTTAGACAACTTAGTTTGGGAAACTGGCAAAAGCTACATTGGCAAGGCCTTTGATAAGTTGCTGTTCTGCAGGTGTAAAGCAGGCCCATACCTTTCCCATTTCCCAGAGGGAAAACAAACCAGTACCCTTACCCAATAACTACTTGCCCCTCATCCCAGCAGAGTGAGTAAACCTAGGTTGTTGTTAAGTTATTGAAATAGCAGCTCTAGAGTAATATGAGAGTACTCCAGCAAAAAAACCCACAAAGTATAATTTAAAACATAAGATTTTTTTCCCCACTCTGAAAATAATTAGAGAGTTGTCTCTACAAAAACTATTTGCTGAACCTGTTCCTAGAATCAAGCAAAGTGGAGAAAAGAACATAGACTGACAGTACCACAAGCACTCATAAGATTCAGCTCTTCTTGTCTCAATGCATTAGACCAAGTTGCTCGTAACATATGAGGCTAGAAAGGGAATCTTCCTCAAAGGCAAGGATTTGGGGACATTTTTTTTTATACTATAGAATTTAGCAAGATTTCTCTCTCACATATGCAACAGCAATATTTCTTGCATGCTCAGAAATTATCCGTTACTAAGCCTCAGGTCTTTGGGTTCTGTGTTTTCCCAAGCCTCATCTACGGCAGCAAACTTATCCCTCGCCGACAATGGATTTCAGCAAAAGGTGCTAAACATAATTTAGCTGCAAGGACAGACTAACTCTTTAGCCTGTTTCTGAAATGGTCCTGAAGATGGTTTATCTTTAACTATACTTGCAGTTAAATCATATTTAGCACCAGTTCAGCCACAGTTGTTGCCCATCGTCATTCACTTTTATCATTCATCCCAGTGTCAGAAGCAATTTAATCTTCACTGCAAAATACAAGGAGAGCAGAGAAACCTGACTAGAATAGAAAATCATTGATACAACCAGGAGTAAAAGTTTTTCAACCTGTGTAGTGTTTATACCCTTATATAATAATATAAAGAAGCTGCAGTATTGCGGTTATATCCCACTTGTCTTTCTGGAACAGTGCAGAAATTACATGGGCTTGTAGGCAAATAGAAGCTTTATTAAAACGAGCAGAAGCTTGTGAAATGGGTTTCCCATCATCTTAAAATTATTTGAACTCCAAGTATGTGCATGAATTTCCCTTCTAAGGAGGAAGAACATACATGACAGTAACTTAATGCAGAGGGAAACGGTATGAACATATCTTAAAAAAAACAAACAACAAAAAATGCCTTTTACCTTCAAAAATCAAATCCAATTGGGAGTTTCCATAGGTCCAGGTCCAGGAGATGATTTACCATATTATAGAAGTCACCTGAAACCAATTACTCTAGCTCTGGTGATGCTTGCAGAATGTGTTTGCAATCTGGTTGTCCTGAGTTACATGTGGCTGCCAGCAACAAAACTATTCAGGCTTTTATCCTTCTCTCAGTGTAAGTGAGGTTTATAAAAAGATACTAGCAGCATGAATAAATAACAAGATGAGATTGAAAGAACACTGCCATCTGCCCGTTCACAGCATGAAGACCAATTCATAAAGACTGGAGCGTACAGTCACTTTATTGGAAACTCCGATTCACTTACATTTGGTTTATTTTACCAATACACATTCCTTGAAGAAAAAGGTTGCATAAAGGAAATGTAAGAAACTGAAAAAAATATCAAAATTATCCCACCTTCTACAATACCAGTTCACATGCCCAAAGAGGCACACACCGTATTTTCCAAATATGTAACTAAACTATATTCACAAATAAGTTATACAGCGTGTCAAACTCTAGAGAAAGAAAAGTAAATTCCACCATTGCCTTTGAAGAGCTTTTCATCAGCAAAACTAATGAAGATTTTAACAACTTACTGTATGTATCTTACTACTTTTAACTGTACTGCATTCTTGTGAAATGTCTAGAATATGCTGGTGAACATGTTATTCATTACAAACCTCACAAACATTCCTTAAGAAGCTTAAAAAAAAAATCTGCTTATTACAAATAATGTGCTATTTGAAATACTCCATCCATTTAATAACATTAAAATAAGTCAGTCTGATATTTAAATGACTTGTCACATGGACTATGAGATACAGGCACTTCGAATGTTTCAAGGAATTATGCCTCAGTCCTGTGACTTTGATGCAGCATATAAGAGACGCCAAGAATTAATCATCTCTTAATATTGGAATACGAGCTCAATCCAATTCCCATTATAATCATTTGGAAGAATCACACCGATTTAATTGGGGGTTAGGGGCTTAAATCAGAGGGTCCAATCCTGCAAATCCTCTGCTACCCTCACTGAAAGCAGTGGGAAGCTGTAATAGTTTGGGTACCCCAACTGCCTTCTAGATACAATTTATGATTTGTTTAAATTGATTTTATGAACTCTGTATATATCTCCAACTCTTACCACGCTGTAAATCAGCCATGGGCTGACAAGACCTCTCACGTATTGCATGCACCTAGAATATTGCTACAGAATATACAATGGGGATTGTTAACATGTAATGGCTGGGGTCTGACAGGGCAATGTGCACTAAGAGAGAATGCCGGACCTGAAGCAATCCAGTTATTCCAGGTGGTTGGCAGAAAGGGCAGTTTTGGAGAAAAATCTCCAGAAGAGGAAAAAGAAACCAAATGTCACTGCAAGTGTGATGTTTAGAGATCTCAAAGTCTGAGAAGTTGAAGATGGATTCTGGAGAACCAGAGGAATAACAGATTTTTTGACTACCAGGTCAGCTGCAACGGAAGGACACTGAGAGGGGATCAGTGTATCTGGAGGAGAAAAGCGTGAAGAAAGCCCAACAGAGAGGACTTGGAATTCTGAAATGACACGGACCCAAATCCCGGAAAACTCAGCAGTGGTAAGGAAACCAAGGCAAAATATATATACATACACACAACATTTGGTGTTTCTCTTATATTTGCACGTTTGTCATTAAAGTGAGTGCTTTAGAAATCCTTAACAAAGTCTGTGCCTGGCTTCTTCAACTCTAGCTCAGAGTGCCTGCAAGAATGAAACTCTGGGAACGTGTGTACTAAAGCTCCTAGGAAGTCAGGGGACTCTGCCCCGGGGGATACTGCAGTTGCACTGTGGAGCACCACTTCCACAAAAGTGGTCTGCTGGAGAGTCTCTCCAGAAAATGTGCCAGAGGCCAGAGACATGACGGAAAGTACTGAGACTCAGCAGAGCCTAAAAAGAGTTCAGTGGGACCCACAGCGGATCCAAGCCCAGCAACCCTGGGAGTGTCCAGGAGGTGCAGCTTGTTTCCTGCTGCAACAGAGGCCTACACAGGAAAAGTCTGTGGGACTGACCAAAGGTCCAGAGCAAGGAATGATGAAAGTAAAAGACTTAAAATTTGAAAATTAATATTTACAAAGCAAATACAAGCACGAAGAGTAAAAATATTAGGGAAAGGTTTATACCAAATATTTCAAAAAGGCCTCCTAGAATGGTAGCTTAAAATCAGGCCACTGACATGACAGATGGTTTTAAGAAACCAGAAGGCATGTAATAAAGCATGGTCTACTAAAATTCTCATCACTTATTCAGGAATGTAAGTACAATGAAACAGTTTTTGATCATTTACTTTCAAAGCCACCTAGGAATACAACTTGAATAGGCAAACATGATGCAGTTAAAACACACTATTCAAACTGAGTCCACAGTATCCTATAAATTTAATTTATCACTTTTACCAACACCAGAGAAATATTTGCCCCCGTATACTCCAAACATGGACACAAAGTCCTTGTGCATTAATACGAGAACAAAATGATTGAGGCTTAAACAATTAACTTGGCATTTCCTTGTTTGTCAATCTCCACAACTGAAAGTTCTTTCAGTGTTTTTACCCTTGAATCAGTGGCTTTCATATTCATCTTGTTCATCTGTGCAACACTCAACGCTGCTCTGTAAGACAAAAGCAGGAAAGTATTAAAATAGAGCATTGGAATGAAATAATTAAACTACCATGTAATAGAGCTGTTAAGATGTTGGGAGCATAACTGTCCAAACTCTGTATCCCCTGACAGCCACTGAAATGTGTGAACTTGTCAGAGCATAATCACTACCCCGTTTCTACTACAACGAAGTGTAGAGGAGGGGGAGTGGAAAGGGGAAGACTCTCTCATACCACAGTCAACCTTCAAGAAGCAACAGTAGCATCTAAAGTATCTGTGTTAACTTCAACCAAGTTAAAAAGATCATCTACTCTGACACAAAACCAAAATGTATTAAAAACCAAAAAAAAATAAATGCAGACATCCATCTTAACCATGTTAATGTTGTCTTAGGGTATCTCCTGCACTTCCAGAATGTCGAGTTCAGGCAAACTGCATGCGAAAACAACCTGAACTCCCTGAAGCCAGGTAGGAGTAACTGCTCTAAGGCAGATCCGCTTTAAGCACCTGTTTGCTGGAATAAACTATACCTTCCCAGAGTTTTTCAAGCATAGCTATACCAGCACATTTTTTCTAGTACAGCTCTGACCTCAGGCATCCATGGTGTAAAACTAAGTTAAAACAATATATTTCTGCCTAGTCTGCGGTTTTAATCTTGCAAAAAATAACAAACCAAAAAAACAAAGGTGATTTGATCATGGCAAAAAAAAATGCGTGTCTTTTTATTTTCCCCAAAGGCTTGTCATCTTGGGCTATTTATTTTTACCCTATCAGAAAGCAACAGGAATCTGGATCAGTTTCTGAAGCTAATGCACTGCTACATCATGACTCTGAAAATGCTAACACTGTTGTTCTGTACTTTAAAAAGAAAAAAATAGACTACTTTAAAACTACAATTTTTCAGTCATGCTAATTAATAATTAAAGGTTAAAGGCTTAAGAGCAATTAAATGGACTCATGTACTGCTGCAATTCTTACCTGTTCTTATGTACAACAAAGTGGTTATATAGTTCCCTGTAAAAGCTATTCAGGTCTGCTAATTTAACAGTACTTCTAATACTCCTTGGTATAGCCATAAGCATTTCTTCAGTCAGTGGTTTGAACTGTGATTCTAGCAATTTGAAAATAAAAATAACTCAGTACATGCAGATAATGTTATAGTATATTCAACTACTGCAAACTTCATTTAAATTAAAGGTATATCCATTGTGCTCACAAAATAAAGTCTTAAGTTACAAAATGAGGGAAAGACAAATATCCCCATGTACCAACTGAGACAAATAAGTGAAGACATATAGTCAGCATGTTGTTGAGCAGTCATCCTTGCAAAAAAGTGACATTTATTTACAGACTTTCCTATTTCATCACTGAGTATTTGAAACATCAGATATACACGAGTGAAACAGAGACAACATAATTTTCCCTTTTTTTCCTTCTCATCTCAGCCACACAATTATGCTGAAAATAGCCTCAAAATGTATCAACCTCAACCCTTCCAATTCAATTCAACGTATACAGTGAGGTGTAATTCTTGTCACATAAGATGTCACATTCAGAATGTTATGTCTAGTAAATCAGGTAATATCTTTGATGATAAACCAGGTAGGTGGGAAAATAAAATGAAAAAAAAATATGTATTAAAAAGAAAAAAAAAAAAAAAAGGCAACAAAGTACATCTCTTTACTTGGCAAGTTCCCCACGGTCTTCAACGTTAGAGCCCCAGGCACTTTCACCAGTCACCCCACCCTCCTTACACCACTGCTGCAAGTCTTCCTCCCCACACCTCCACCCCTCTTTCAGGCAACTGTAATACCTCCAGAGTGCTGCACATTATGCCGAGCCTAGGAACAAATAGATGTGCATGGAAACCTAATATGGGTCTGTTGATTTTGCTTTGACAAGAGGCTATTAAGATATCACTGGGATAAATCCCGCTTTTAAACAACCACTTCTGGATTAAGCAACAGTTTTTCCCATATTAATACTTTTTTTTTTTTTTAATATGTATGTGACAATAGAACTGGATTCAGTCCAGGCAACAATAAAGCACAAATCCCAGCAAAGTACACAGAAGTCATCCCTGGAACTGAATTTATACCTCAGTCTCTTGCACTTTAAGTTTTAACCCTTTAATCAATATAAAAAAAACTACCAGCTAGCATTTATAGCCATTTTTTTAATGGCAATAAATTGTTTACCACAGGTACTACATTCGATAGATATTTCATTCGAAAATTAAATGCCCGCTTTTCTCCCTGCAAATCACCCTCATTTAGTAGGTGATTTCAAATCAGACCCATTTCTCAATTGATGGCATCTGCAAGGACTGATGTTATAAGAGAATAAAGCATTTTTATCCAGTTATCCCTGGTCCTGGATAATTACTTAAATCTGTAGGATATATACACATATTAAGTCCCACATTTAGGAGCAGTCTTGAGAGTAGTCTAACATTTTTGTGTATTTCACTACAGCCACATAAACATAGTTTTAATTGCATTAAAAAGTTGCCTTTGTAGGTGCGAACCTTAAATTTCATTATGCACATAACTCATAACAACAACAACAAAATAAGTCCTAATAAAAAAAATAAAGGCTAGGAAAATGAAGGTGATTTCTGTGACCAACTTGAATGGATTTTTCAAAACTTACCTTCACTGGGGTTAGGAACTGTTGACACTGAACAAATAGGCTATAAATAAAGAGAATGTACCGTGAAGATCTGTATGTATTATATTGCAGTTTTTAAGCAGTAGCTGTTTTTACACATGACCGTACTGCTCTATTAATACATGAGTGAGTTTTACCAATTAAGGTCTTAAAGAACCTGACTCTGCAGACACTGATGTCAATGACAAGTCTAAGTAATAAGCAAAACACTTCCTAGGCAGACACGACATTAACTGGTAATTAGAATCTTGGTTCCAAAACTGTCCATTTTTCATAGGGTCTTTTGATGCAAGGCTTTGAATTAAATAATAATACAGCAGGAGAAGAGAGAAACTACAAGGAACAGGCAGGAGAGAAGATATTTGCAAACCAAGGACTGAAGAGGCAGAAAGCAGTCATACACACATTGGTGATGAAGGGACAGAGAGGTAGTTATTGATAGATAGTGGGGAGTGTGAAGCGAAACAAAGATGGACAAAGCCTGTAAAATACCAGAAACCTATTAATTTACATTAAAAAACAAAAGTATTAATAACTTGCAAAGCTTTGTTCTTTAACATTGTATAATAGGGTTAAATTTGTCTTATTCATTTTCAATTGACAGTTATATTGTTACAGAACATGAAATGCATTTTCCACTTTGACACCATTTGGCTGCAGTAATTATGTTCTTCAGCTTGGCCCCAAACCCTTACTCCCAGTTCCTACTTAATGTCCTGATGGAGTACTCATAACTGCACCAACAAGAGCAACCAATCTGGGTGGGTCCTTCCGTCTCACAATTGATGCAATCTAAAGCAGTAGGATTTGCCTTTCTTTTTGTACTTTTTTGAAATATAAAAAATTATATAGGAAATAAATGCAAACATTTCTTTAAAAGAATGGTCACAGGTAAAAATCTCCATTCAAAAACAATCTTCTTGACAGACCATTTAATTAAATAATCAATGCAGTATACATATGGTTAAACTGAAAAAATAAATTAGAAACTATGGGCACACCCTGAAAACCGTTAGTCATTAATAGTCCTCGTTCACACAAACAGTCCCTCTGACTTCAGCTGAACAATTGAGGATTATGGGGCTTGCAAAATTAAGCCATATGTCAGGATTACCTCTTCCACTGGTGAATCTGTTTCTTTAACAATTTGGCATGTTAACTGTTGTGCTGCACTCTGTTCTTCTTCCGACAAAGGTAAAAGCTACAAAAAGACAGGATTTTGTTATTTTCAACTCTTGGGAAGGGCTGTATTTTAGTAGAAACAGTTACCATTTTCATTTTACAGCGAGTTGCACTTTCTACCTGACAGCGTCCTTCAAGAAAGCACATGACAAAAAATCAGTTAAAAAAGGGACAGTTTTGTGCACCAAGCCATCCGTTTCCAACAACTTATACAGAGATGAGACCTGTATTACTTTAGGTTGATGCCAGCAGAGTTCCATCAGCATAACCTTGGAGTAATTCAGTGGTGAACTGGGGTTAGTATTTCAGACAACACGCTCAACCCTGCCAATCCATATAAAGGTAAGTAGATGCGCAGACTTGAGTGGTGCTGCTCACCCTCATAAGCGTTTTCAGGACTGAGTCCAATATATTAACAGGGTCTATCAGAAACAGGAAAAAAAAACTTCAGAGCTCTGAAGCATTTTTCTGCTTGAGAAAATCTAACTCTCCTATCCTGCAAAGTTTTGAACAGTGAAACTACTGTAAAAACTACTCAGTTAAAACTACTCTCACACACACATAGAGTTTTATGTATGTATGTCTATATCTGGATCCAAATTAGAAAGACTAAAATTATTACCTCGAGATGTGTGTGTTGTTGTAGTGCCTGCACCATCTTCATAGTGTTTTCTAGAGCAGCACGGATACAATTCATGGACTCTATTTGCTCTCTGGAAATTTTGTCCAGCTGCACACACAACATTTTGTAATGTGACTTTACCACTGAGAGTTCCTCTAAGAGAGTCACTGGATTTTCCTACATCAAGGTAAAAAGCATATTTAAAGCTACCAAAGACACTGCAAAGAAGATTAATGGCTACATTCTTGACTAAACAGCAATTAGACGTTCCCAAAGCATATGGCAACAAGGACTGTTAGAGTAATTGAAAATGACCCTTTACAATGAAAGTGGTTAGGAAATCTTAGCTATAAGCATCAGTACACTGGTCACATGTAAAATGTTTTATAAGCTCTTCCTCCGTCTCCCAGTCCATTTAATAACTATTCATAGAGAAACGCTATAAATAAGATAATACTACCTTCTTGGTACCACATGAGATACAGCTGGATGGAGAGAATGAATTTTGTTGCTTTATTGCCTTATGAGACTTTTTCTGAATTAGAATATATAAGCCACCCCTTGTGAAATCAATGTATCTGAACATATGGGTGTGGGTGAGGGCAGATTTACAGAATGCTTTAAATGCTGACAGTTTATTTTGTTTCCCTCCCTTCCTGTCTTCTTTCCCCCATAAACCCTGAGTCTAGTCATCATTTGTTGGCAGATTTATTGTAGGTGTCATGGCAGAGGTGTGTCTGAGGGAGGTGGTGAAGTTGATAGTGCCTCTTAAGTATTAACTTATGACACTCCAGTTAATGTCTCAAAACACAATAATGTAGCATTCCATTACACCAGCATGTTGTGATTTTTATTAAATCGATATTAGATTCGCTGTCTTGGTATGCTGTGAGAAATATTTTAGAATATAAAATCAAAAGACCAAGCAGTGTTTTAATCTGAGACAGAATTACCCATTCATAGTGAATTAATGCAAGATGCAACAGAATGCATTCATTTCGTCTGGAAATAATACCTCTGCTGCCGGATCCTCAGGAAGGTTTTTCATTATTTCAAACTCCAGCTTGTGTTGAATATAATCCAGGTCAGATTCTGCCTTCTGGAACTAAAACATCAAAGATCAATCACCATGTATTAAGGAACAAAAAAACCTAGACAAAATGTGGCCATTCGTCTTCTCTGCATTCCAAAGAGCAAAAGTCAGGATGTTTCAGTGTTAAAGGCTGACCCACTTCTCCAATTCAGTCCAGTTATTGATATTCATAAAATATCTTGACTCTCTTGGGGGCTGAAACAAAGATAGAGGGGCAAACTTACAACACCTTAGCATTTGCATAGTATCTAGAGTGAAGACGCCTTAAATATGCAGATGCAAACTTGTCAAGAAATGAAGAGTGGTGGCCAGGAAAGGTCCTTGAAACCTGATAGAAGACAACAGTTGGCAGCATTTTCATGCATTATTGGTCAGCTGAAGCAGACGTACCCATTCTCTGCTCTTCCCAATGCAAGTGTAGGTCTGGATCTGCCCATTGACTTGCCAAACCAGTGTACATATGAAACAAGTGACCACACACCTCCAGGTACCTACTAATGCCCACCTCACTCCCTTTGTCAAACCCTTACCACCCAACTATTCTGTCCCTTACCCATGTCTTCATGACTTCTACACATTGCCTTGTTTTGAATGAAAACATTGCTATCTATTCGTACACCAAATATCCTCCAATTCAAATCACTCAAGATAAAGTTCTTCTGTTCAGCCTTTGAGTTATAAACCAGGGTGGGAAATTATATCAGGGAAGGAGGAAAAAAAACTGCATCTTTTTTTAAAGATAGACTTTGCTTGATTCACTGGTGCAGAAGACAGGTCTTTTCCATCAATTTCTCAACTTTTTCAGCTTAATTTATGTTCTTTCAAAACATTAAAACCTTAGTGACAATACTGCACTACTCACAGCTATTCACCCATTAGAGAGTATCAATAAGGTTCCATGACATGGTTATATCAACAGAGATTTTACTTTTAATTATGTTAAAAATGTGTCCTCCTGGTTGATTATAACACTCACAACACATTTGATTATTTCCCAGTAAATCAGACTGACAAGTGGATAATCAAATTGATGACATCACCAGTACACTTCACTCACATTTCTATTCTTGGGATAAATAAACCAGTAGGGAATAGGATAATTGCCTTGTAAAATAGTGTAATGATTGGATTATTGCTTAATTAACTTTCATCTGTCATTTTAATGTCTATTAGGGACTTCTGGTTTAAAGAAAGGCAGCATGCCCAGTTCATAAAACCAACATTATGAATTTCTTCATCTAATTGTTTTGGGATTTTATTTGAGAGAGGGACTTTTAGGAAAGTAAGCTAAATGCTTACAAAACTCATTTGCTTCATTGTGTCCGTCACAGTATGAGCTGCCATCTAACTCTGTAGCAAAAATTACAATTGAAATTAAGTTCAAGATAGGGTTATAGGTGTTTGGAATACCCCTGAAAACTTTGTGATGAACTACTAGGCTGCATCCACACATGGCATGGACGTTTGGTTCCCCACGGACAATTAGCAGCGGCACACCTTGTCCAACTTCCATCAACCTTAATAGGGTTTGAGTTAGACCTGTATTTAGGTGCCTAATTCTCCTTGAAACAACTGCAATTTTCCCTCTTTCTTCTGATTTACACCACCTTGGCCGATGCAATTCCAAATTCATCTCCCTGGACTGGTACCCATCATGAGAACCACCTTCCTGTTGAAGCATCTGCCTTCACAGAGCCCTCCTATTAGTCTGTCCACGTTGCTATCTATATTTAGATGCATCGCAGTTCACATTCCAGGAAGGCCTCCACAGAGCTCCAAGTGCCATCAATCTCAAACATTCCTTCCTATAAAACCTAATCAACAGCACCACTACTAGATATTTTCCAACCACCCAGCAACAGAAAATATGGGAGTTCCTCAAAACACTCTCAACAACCAGCGGAAAAAGTTTTTCATGATTGCATCTCTTTTACAATAAGCTTGCCAAAATCAGAGGGAACAATCAACGATCAAATAGAACATTCCAAGCCTAAAAAATATAAACCAAAAAGACTTATTCCTAATCGTGTTCAAATTTCTTTAAAATTGCTCGAATGGCCCTCAGTACTCCAGAAGAGAAACTACATTGAAAAAAAAAAATCTCATCAGGATAGAGTTAATGATTTCAATGAATCTCATAAGCTCACAACCTCCTCAAAATATTCCGTTTACCAATTTCAACATAAATCAACTGCCATGCAGCGTTCAAAAGCTGGACATGACTGACAATTAGACTTTTAACAAATCTAATGAGAAAAAATAAAATCGCTAGTCTATGTGAATGAAAGACTATTTAAAAAAAAAAAAAAAAAAAAAAAAAAATGAACAGTGCATGAACCTACCAAATAGGTCAAAGTGCTAATGGGAAAGAGATTTTTTTTAAAAAAAAAAGAAGAAAAATGCTAATTGTCTTGAATAGAGTCAATTAGTTTTACATATATATAAATATATACACACAGACCTAAGCCAGCAGTTTTGAAGCTTCCTAAAGTCAAGGAACCCTTTCATATCATTTCTTCTGCAGCAGAACCCCTACCCCATCCTGAAGACTGAAGCAGAGCCAGACAACCTGGCCCCATAGTAGTGATGCACTCACTGCCGTCTGGCCCGCTCCATCGCTTCCCCCAGTCTCCGTGGGGAACCCCTGATGACCCATCACAGAACCCCAGTTCCAGGGACACAGTTTGAAAACCACTGGTCTTGGCCAAAATGCACAATAATAACCCTAGTACTCAGGTTTTGTTTCTACAACAAATAGTAAAGTTCACATCAATTGTAGGTGACTGCTGATTGTTTTTAACAGCTTAAATTACACTGCATTCTTAGCTTAAATCCTGGAGTGCTGGTTAAACAGGACAGATGTAAAAAAGCTGAATCTAAAAGATGTTCACCACCTATAAAAATCAAGACCGCGCTTGTTCAATTTATTATTCCGATAGTTTAATCAAAGACTAATGGTAAGTTGTTTCCAAGGAAGAGTGCAACAAATTTCGTTTAGTATAAAAATGCAAAAGGGAACTGCTTCTTATTATACATTTTTTGTTTAAAAACTTCCATGAAAAATTAAAAGAAATGTTTTGGCATTTCTGTCCTCCTTCACTGACACGAGTTAATATTTCTGTGTAGTGACAGACCCGTAAAACAGCCTGTTTTCGGTTTCCTCTTTCAGTAATCACCGACTGTGGACTGCTGATGACTTGTGGCTTTCCTTGCTCCTGTTTTTAACACCAGGGTCGTTTATACTATTAACTTTTCAAATGAAATAGGTCATAATCAGCACATTTACTAAGTATCTATGCAGCACAGCTTGTAAGAATATTCTAATATTTAGGCAAGTAGAACTTGAAGCTCACAAATTCATAGCGAACCATTAACTGCATGCTGCTGCTATAATTCAAAGTAAAATATGAATCTACTGCTTATCTGTCATATAACTAATACTTTAAGATTTAGCATTAATGAATATTAATATAATTCAATATTGCAGCTTATTTTGTACAAATATACCTGATACAAATGAAATAATGTATACCTTTTATAAAAACTTAACACTTTAAAAAAAAAAAATAGTCCACTTGGTCTTATTTTAGAAATATGAAAGAAATGTCTGTTCCACATTTATATACATAATTTTATCTTTAATTCCTACTTGTATCTAAAAAAAATTGCTGCAGTAAATTCATCATTTTCTTCTGCTAAGAATAGTAAAATTAGACAATTTAATGTCATCATCATGAAGTTATAGATGAGGACTGTTTGTACATTAAAATGTTTTGAAAAGAAAATGTAAGTCTATGAAACACAAGGTTTTACTTACTCACGGGCTTTGAAGAAACTGTTAGAAGCCATTCACAAGATTCAAGGCATTGCTGTGAACTCTGCTTTCAGATGCTTTGACAATACTATTGCACTGCTAGCTGTAAAGTACAGTAGTGCAATAAAGTCAGAGCATTCGTTAGCAGCAAGAATCCCGAACATGTAAATCAACACCATCTAAATATGCGTTAGGTGAAATCACTCAATGTCAGGTGCTGGCATTTCATGGTTTGTAGCCATTTGACTAGTGTTAAATATGGCCTACTCGAGATGTGAAGAAATTCCGATATTTAAACATGCTATGATTGTTCAAGAACATTGCAATTATACTGGCCAAGAAAAAAAAATTAAAACCACTAAAAATCTTTTGGGAACTGAAACCACAAATATTTTGCTGCTGCTTTTGCGTGATATCGATATTTCCAAAATTATTTAGTACAGATTTCCTAGGCAGCAGAGCAAGATAACAGAATACTGTCAGCCAAATATTTCCCCTTGATAAAATCTAAAAGACACCAAGTGTGAAAACTGGATGAGTGAAACATCCTTCTGTAAAGTTATCACCTTCCATATTGCTTCCCAGTCTGAACACACACAAGTATTCTGATCTCCAACTTGTGAATCCATGACAGAAGACTAGTAATGTAGACAGTATTGCTGGCCAATGCCCTTTTAACATTGCACTGCTTTTTGTGCACGATCACTAGTAGTACAACATAAAAAGGGCACTGGACAGACACTATGCACCAAGAATAAAGGGGTAAAAAAATATAGTTGCCCATGGTAAGAATGCAGAGAAAGAAATGGATCAAGATTGCTCTGTAACAAGCACTCCACATTTGTGGAGCGTCAGCTTACATATTTATTGTAATGACATTTTGTGGACACGCATTTGATAAGTAACGGCAATTCTGTTCATCGCAGTAAGGCTGCACGTTGGAACACACTCTCTGTGTCCAAAGATTGATGATGATCTCTACTGTAAAACAGCCGATCATTTATTTATCAGAACACAGCACTATATATTATGTCCTCAGTAGGAGCCTGAGCCAAGGTCTGAAGTCAATGCAACATGCTCCCTGACTCCAATGGGTGCTGGATCAGGGAATGTGCTCAGATGCTCATCTCCTTCTGCAATTCAGTATCTCTTTCCTTTCAATTGTGTCCTTAAAAATGTTAGGTATGAGCTCTTCATGCATAATTAATATTTCCATATTGTGTGGATATTATAGGACTCCTACTTCTCTTCATGTTACTGTACTTTGATCATTTGTCTTTCAACTACATACAGATTTGCTTCTGAGTCAACTCTGACTATTCAGCATTATCATCCATATTGCTCTTTTTAAGTTTCCTGCAAAACAATACCAGTTTCTCCTAGGTTCCACTACAGACTAACTGGTTCTTTTTATAAGGTGCATGCCAAAACCTCTGGGGAAGTAAGAAGTATTATTTTTTCACACTTCTACGAAGAGAGTGGTCTTCACAAAAAAAGCAAGAAGAGCAAACAATGAGCAGAAGCAAAAACAAATGACACAAAGCTACAATAACCATGACATAGTTGCCAAGACACAGATTCCCATGAATTTAAAGAAGAGAGAAAGACAAACAACTACACTTTGGAAAAATAGCTAGATAGGTGTGTAAGAAGTTGTCCAATGATTATTATTGAAAACCTAGCATCTTCTACTAATATAAAAGTACAACTCGAGACTCAAAATGGCTCTGCCATGTGTCAGACGAACAGACTGTCTGTTCAGACTATTAGTCTATAACCAATCCTTTAAAATTCATTACAAGATCTCTTTGGTCTACTTGGAAATTAGGCCTTAGGTTGTTGGTTCAGATCCTGGCTCCAATACAAGTGAATGGAAGAAGTCCTGCAGCCTTCAACAAAACCAGCGTATCAACTTTTACACCCACACACAATCTTCTTAGTTATTTTTGTTACAATTATGTTTGTATTCAGAAGCAAGACAATTGTGAATTACCAGATTCTTTAAAGTGTGACACCCTGAAATGTGGGTATAAATCATAATATGACACAGAACTGGACAACTAGCCCTTGATAATTCTAGCGGGTTTGCAGGGGGTGAGGGGGAAAAGAAAAAAAAAAAATTCTTTAATAGGAAAAAGAAAAGGATTCAAAACAAATTTTGGAAGAGACGGGTAGATCTCAAAACATACTGACTGTGTAGCTACAACTGCCAGTTCTACATTTACAAAACTGAATTTTAGAGGTTTGACCAAAAAAATGGAATAGATCATTGAAGCCAATATGGTATCGTTTTATCATTCCAAGTCAGTGATTCTCAACCAGGGTGCCAAGAGATACGTTTAAGGGTACTCAATATGCACGCAATGTTAACACTGCTAAGTTTGAAACACGATCACAAGATAAACCCAAACATTTCAAATAGACATTAATTTTTCTAAGTTACTTGCAACAGAAAAGCTTATCTGGGTTTTTTTTTTTTTTTTTGCTTACAAAAAGATGAGTGAAAACTAAGAGCCGGCATTTTCTAAGGGGTGCCTTGAGTCTATCCAAGGGTACCTTACATCTAAACAGGGTAGAACCAATGTTTTAAGCACAATTTGAGTGGATGACCTCAAGCTAGTAGCTATTGCAGGACAGGATGCTATAGAAATTAATGTCTGATTTACCATATACAGTATATGGCCTAGGACCTTCAAAAAGAAAAAAAAAAAAACAAAACCAACCCCCCCCCCAAAGTGCCATGTTTGAGAACACAAAATGAATCTTTCAAGCATGCTATGAAGTTCAGAGTTAGGTAGTACACAAGTTTAATGCAATGCCCTTTCAAATCTGGGGCACTAGAATCAGATACCCTTTTTGTCTACATACATTATAAAATATTAATATTTATGTTATAATGTAAATCATATCACAAAACCACAATATCACCTCCAGTGCTTACCCAGAAGAATCTTAGTACGGGAATAGTGCGGTAATATAGGTCACTCACTGAGATGACAGAGACATATTAGCAGAACAAGCTAATACTTTAGAGGGCATTCAGCCAAACACTGTTTATTTTCAGACAACACACGCTTACTTGCTTGTTGCTGCTGCTGTGTTAAAGGATGTATTACACTGCAAGTGGAAGTTGAGCAATGCTGTGAATGGAGGAGGTGGTTTAGTAACTGAATGTAGAGGAATTAAGCCAAATATAAGGGTCCAGAACAGTGATCCACAACCTTTTAGACTTGAGGCACCCCTTGGAAAATGCCAGCTCTCAATCTTCACTTCTTTTTTTGATTACAGAAAAATAATAAAGCAATTCTTTGGTTGCCAAGAGCTCAAAAAGACCACAACAAATCAAATAGGAATCCACAGTGTTAAAAATATTCTGAAATCTCTGGGTTCATCTTGTGACTTGTGTTTGCACATCTAACCATGTTAACATTGCATGGTAGTCTTGAAAGTATCTCAAGGTACCCCAGAATGCCATGGGATCGTGGTTGAGAATCACTGGTCTAGGAAGTCCTTAAATTTGGTGCTTATGAAAGGGCAGGATTAAAAGCACTGACTAGAGTCAGGGATAATGTAGACATACAATACATGTCGTTTCCTACAATGGTCTGGCCCACAGCCCTCCTTGTTCCGAGTTTCTCCCAAGTAGCTTTCTTACTGTTTTTATGATGTGTATAAATAGGTACCAGCAAAACACTACTCTCATTCTCACCACCTCATTTAAGTTTCACTTCCAGGTAGCAGGTATTAAAAGCCAACACCACACTCCTGCAATACCTAGCTTTCTGAACAGGATAATTTACTTATTCTTTGCAGGGCCATTACTGATACCAAAAGAAGCAACACCGTAGGGACAAATAAGCAATAGGCAAAAATACCTCAAAGTTCCTTGACAAACATCAGAAGAAATCACCATGAGATCTTAAAGAGCCACCTGTCAGTATGTGCACATCTCAAATAAAAGCCTATAAAATGGATGCTTATGGTACCGTTTAGAAATGAAATGGAAATATCCATAATAAATTGAACATGGGCTGGATGGGGATATCCTCTTTCCTTCCCAGGGCAGGGTTCAGACTCAATGACCTACCGAGGTCCCTTCCGACCCTAAAAATCTATGAAATCTATGAATACACGGATCATTCCCAAAGATCTCTGGCATATTCACAGTATTAACCAAAAGTATAAACAAATACATGCCCATTATGATCCAAACAGCTACTGAATTACATTAGCATCAAGTCTCCAGAAAGAAACTGAAGCCCAGATCTTGACTTGGGTCCAGAGAGCCGTCACAACGGGGCTCAGATACGGAAGGAAAGGAAGAGATTTCCAGATCCTATCTGCACCATGGAAGCCACCACTGTCAAACTACCATTGTGTAACATGATCGGGGGAGCAGGAAGCAAGGTGACAGCGTTACGCAATACAGCTGGATCCAGCCCGAGGGAACGGCACGAGGTGATGTTAATACAGAGTGAAGAGTCCGGTGGGATATATGGACTGGAACGGCCAAAACAGCTGCCTTTCTTGCCTTACCAGGACAAGGGGATGGTAACCCCATCCAACCAGGCTGCTCAGCTTCTCTCCAAGCTGGAAAGGGCTGTAGGGAACTCTCCAACATGTCCCCGCCCCAGAATTGAGGGGACGACCCCGGCAACAGGGGACAGATGGCCCCCATCCCACAATGTGCAGCCCACACCCTTCCTGCCCCACGCCAAGGAGAGGCGAGCTGGGGCCAAGAGGAGGAAGGCTGGTCCGGAGGAGCTGGTGCTTCACCCACCTGGGGCAAGGGGAAAAGGGACTAACCCAGGCACGGGCTCCCCAGCCCAGAGACAGGAAGAGGAAGGGCCACCCCATGGCCCATCCCCGGGCAGGAGCCCAGGCTGGGCCAGGCCCACCACTCACTCCCCCAGGACAGGAGGCAATGGACAGCTCCAGGTCCATGCCCCGCCCCCTAAGGGTAAAGGAATGGACCTGCCCATGGCACCTCTGCTCCTCCCCCCCCCCAGTTGAATGGAAAATGGACCAGTCCAGGTGAGACCTAGCCCCAAGAAAATGAACTAGTCCAGATGAGTTCTACTCCACCTCGGGGAGAGAGGAAAATGGACCAGTCCGAGTGAAATCAACGCCACCCCCCTCTCTAGCGGGAAAATGGACCGACCCAAGCGGGTTCTGTTTCAACACCCCCCACCCCGCCCCGCGCTGGGGGGTTGAATGGAGCGGGCCCACCCTACCCCTCCTCCCCGGGGTGAGGGCGAATGGACCATCCCGAACACATCTGCTCGGCCCGGGCCAATCGAGAAGCGCGGAGCCGGGCCGGCCCACGCGGGCGGGGGAGCCGCGTCCCTCCCGCTTCTTCCCTCAGCGCCCGGATGGGAGTGGGTCCGCCCGGCCCCTCGCCCACTCACCCCTGGCCCCTGCCCTCATCGCGGGCCCCAGCGCCCCCTCAGGCCCGCGGCCTGCCACCCGGGTCTCCAGCTTGTTAACCGCCGTCTCCATGTTGAATAGTTGACATTCCTCAGGCGGCGGCTGAGGGAGACCCACCCCCCCCTCGCTACAGGGCGGCAGAGCCGGGGCTCCCCATTGGGCAGCTGTCACTCATCGCTCCCTTCTGATTGGCCTTTTGCCCACACAGGCGCGCGCCCATTGGGCGAGCGGGAATGTAAACCCGTTTCATGGCCCCGAGGCTCCTATTGGTTGGAAGGGGCAGCGCGCCGCGCCATTGGCTAGGCCCACAGTGCCGCCTGCCCTCAGTGGCTGCCCGCGGGCTCCCAAAGTGACTGGCTGAGAAAGAGGCCGGCGCGCCCCACTGGGG